TTACTTCCCAGCAATTGCACAACGAACAGTGCTCAAGGGGCACGCTGCACTTATGTACATATGTACATGCATGCATAGAATGCCTTCAAAACAAAAATGCATACACGAAAAAAACAATAATAAAAAAACTGCATTTGCGGCATAAAAACAAAACACTCACTGATTCGTACGGGGTTGGCATTGTATGGCAAGGCTGGCTGGCTGGATGGCTGGCGCTAAAGTTATAATTCGCATATGTTTATGGCGATTACAAAAACAAAAAAGTACAAAGTAAAAAATAAAAAATAAATACAAAAAAACTGAGATAAATAAATAAGAAGGAGGGTAACGCCAAGCCGCAATCGGTGATTTTTTAAGGGTTGTAATTTATACCCAGGACATGTTGCTGCGCTGATGGGCGAACACACATACACACAAACGCAAAGTATCAATTCCCTTGTGGGTATTAATTTCACTCTGTGTGATCATCTCATACCCGCTCCTCCACCTCTCGCTTGACATTCAGCTGATGCCATCGGGTATCCCACTGCGCGCCATGCCACCTTAACTGCGGCGTATATTTCGCCTTGAGCCAGCCAGGCGGTGTTGTATTACACATGCGCTGATGGGTTTTGTTTTGTGTTCTTATGAATGTATGAATATATGTACATATGTGTATATGTTTGCATGCCTAAGTGCATACATTTTCTGTTTGAGCACTTCTTGAAAGAGTCATGATTGAACGTTTATTTCCACTTCAATGTTGGCAAACAATTTAATCAATTGTTAATTTAATTAAAGCGGTAATTTGATATGGGAGTGTTGCCAAGAGAGGCAGATTACTTAGAGATAAATAATGTAGACACGAAAAAATATTGGGCCAAAAGTACGCTAGGAAGTCGATGGAGATTTTTTTCTGCTCAAAAAAATGGGTTAATGATAACCCTAGAGTTGAGGAAACTTCCGAACCCAGGAACCTTTCTCTGAATTAAGATGATTTACGGCAGACACTTGATAAAACTGCTGGCTTCTGTAGGTGGTTCGTTCGGAAAAGGACACGCTCTAAAATCAGTCAAAGTTTTGAGACAAATGCAGCTTATACCTAGGGAGTTAATTGTGAATCATGGACCCGTTAGAAGGCACCTCAACTAAAATCAGCCCTAGTTTTAGGCCATAAGCTTGTGTATGTCCTTAGGTGCAGTATATCCATCAGATCTATATTCACTCTAGGACAGGAAAGGGTCAGTTTCTTAGCTACGAAAGGTTACCCGCGGGAGGGGGGGAGTGATCTCCCCTCTGCTATGGTTCGTCGTAGTAGATGAACTACTCTGCCTTCTAAGCGAAAAAGGCTTCGACGTTCAGGGCTATGCGAATGACATTGTCATCCTTATCGGAGGTAGGTTCGAAGATACCATCTCGAACCTCTTACAGAATGCTCTGAACATAGACGCCTATTGGTGTAGTAAGAATGGGTTAAACGTTAACCCGAAGAAGACTAGCATAGTTATTTTCTCCAGGAAAAGGAAAAGGGACAAATTAGTAGAACCATTCCTTCAAGTGAAAAGATACACTTCTCCAAAGAAGTCAAATATCTAGGAGTTATCCTTAGATCTAGGAGTTATCCCTACATCTAGATAAAACTATTCAAAAGACCAATGCCTCTATCTGGACCTGCCGGAAACTTATGTGACGAAAATGGGGAAACAGACCTAAACTGGCGAGGTGGATGTATGACGATGCCATCTCCGAACACATTTTCACCTGTGCTGCGCCTGTCTGAAGTAGGCGGAAGTGAAGTCCACACAGGCCAAGCTCAGCAAACTACAGAGACTGGTCTGCGTGGATATCACCTGCGGGATGAGAACACCACCAACGGCGGCTCTCGAGGTGCTACTTTACCTGCTTCCCCAACACGTTGTATTTAATCAAGAAAGAGGCTCTGCTGTTTACAGCAAGGCTCATCTCAGTGTAGAGGACAAGAAGTATGTACACCTTTCCACTTTCAGGACTATAGAACAAGAAGATGGATTGCGCATAAACTTTGTGGAACTGTGCCTTCCGATGTTTAACTTCTGAGGTGACTTCAAGGCCTTTTTCCCCGACAAGAATTACTTGGACAACGAACGACCTAAACCCCGGAAGGACAGCCACATCTGGTATACTGACGGCTCAAAGGCTGACCACGGCGTCGGAGCAGGAGTCTACGGCATACAACCCGGACTGCTCCTTTTCACCAGCATGGAGCAGGGCAACTCTGTCTTTCAGGCCGAGGTTCACGCCATAGAACTTTGTCTGAGGCAGTATGTAGAAATTGGTGCAACCAAAAAACACATCTACATACACTCGGACAGCAGGGCCGCGGTCCTCGCAGTTAAAGCGCACGAGGTCACCTCAAAGCTGGTTTGGGACTGTCTTCAACTTTTAATACTGATCGCCTCAAGGAACCGGGTATACCTCATATGGGTACCGGTATACAGTGGAGTCATGGGCAATGAAGTGAAAGACATTCTCGCCAGAAAAGAGGCTGCACATTGATTCATAGGCCCAGGACCCTTTACCGGTCTGCCATGGAGCTCCGTTAAAAGAACGAAGCACAACATTACTGGACAAATACGGAAGGTAACAGACAGGGCAAGTCTTTCATACCGGTTATATCAGCAAGGAGAACCGAAGAACTCCTTCAACTCAGTAGGCATGAAGTAAGAATTGTTATAGGCTTTCTTACTGGCCACTGTAGGGTTATAAAACACTTTTCAAACATAGGAGTTGTCAACTCTGACCAGTGCAGGTTGTGTAACGAAGAACAGGAAACAGCCACTGTGAAGCCCTTACCAGGACCTGACTTCGCTTCCTAGGATAACCGTACCTGGAAGCACACGACCTAAATGGCGTTCAGCCAAAGGACCTTGCGAGGTTTCTTAACAGTACGTGGATCAAAGATGACCTGTAGTTGAATAGAGGTTTGTTACAATAGATCGTTTCGGTCGCGGTAACTAGGTGACCTGCTCCCTCCTCTAAATCTAATCTAATCTAATCAATTAGATCTTCAATCTTGCTTAAACCCCTGAAGGTTCAGTAGTGAACCTTGTAGAAAAATCCGAAGTCTTTAACAATTTTGAGCAAAGACCTTACTTAAACTCCAGACTTCCATGGTGAATTCAGTCGTGGATCAATTAGAAAGAATCCTATAGGATAAAATCTGGTTTAAATTTCAAGCTTCCACAAAAGGTCCAAAAAGATATCGATGTGCATACTATAGCCAACCATAGAAAGATGGATACTACAACTTGTTTTCAGAAGAGTACAGAATAGGAAAAAACTAAATTTAAAAGTCAGACGTGCTGAAATATAGAAAATTCTTAACAAAACCTCAGAAGGGAGATTTATAACATCAATTAGTAATAATCAGGAGCAAGTTGGATATAGGAGAGCAACGCATCAACAGAATTGCTAACTTCCTGGCCGACTTTTGTAGATAAAGCCAGAAAATTAATGATTCTGTTTGTTTATCGAGAACTGGTCATATGCTTCAACAAAGCTAAGGCCGCGGTAGAATAGTGGGTAGCGGGTCGTAGCACTTCTCAGTGGGACTAATATATAATAGTAGATCGTCGAAAGCTTCTTTTTTCTAGAATTTTTTTATCCATCACATCTGATTTCTCGATAGATGTAGCTGTCGGGGCTCAGAACGACGGAAGTTTTTCAGTTGTAAAGTACGCTCGCAGACTTTTTGCCGTAGCGGGGGATCCCGGTACTCGATTGTAGCCCTGAGATTTGCTTGAGACCGTAACTGTTTTTTTTTTCTAAGGCTCCAGCGTACTGGTTTATCTCATATCATGAGGCTTATATCGCAGCGACTCTCTCGCCCACTGAGCTTGCGAACAAAATTCATTAAGGTATCCTTTCTGAACGATAAGTAAGGCCGCCGATTTTTGAGTCATGACTATAATGTATTTGCCAATCATTTCGAGTTTTCACCGAAGCCTCAAGAACAAGTGGCAAAGGTGGTAGCAGGACGAAAGCTCTCTATGGCCTCCGGAGCAACATGCCAAAGGCGCTCGTGGCGCTTACACTTTTACGCGGTCTTTGGCCGAGCTTCTTCTCCAATTTGTGTTGTCCGTTCTGATGTTGGTACACAAAATAGAGGGAACTACAGTTTTACACCGCCTCCGAAGGCTAATGGGTTTTATGAGAAGCTTTTTCATGTCAGAAATATACTCGGAGCTTTGGCACTTCCCGCCGACCGCTGTTAGAAAAAACTTTATCGAATTTAGATGTTGCGTGGACGGGAATCGAACCCAGGTCCTCTGGAGTGGCAGGACGCACCTCAAACCACTCAGCGGTGTATTTAGACTCATCTATTTCATATTTTGTGGGTTGTCGCTCATGTTTTCATGCCATCTCGACAATGTTGGTAATTTAAACTACGCTGGCGCTGCGGCATTTAAAGATCCCCGAGAAATTAAGTTGTAGATTGCTTTGCTGTTGCGGATGCGACTTCGGCAACTCTTATCTTACTACTTGTTTCACGAGTTAGGCTAAGGTCTTAGGGGGTGGAATGACATGTTTAAGGAGAGGACCAAATTACATTTTCATAAAAAAAAATAGTCACCAACGTATGTATTTTTTTAAGATCCTACTCACAGCTGAAAGCGAAACACATCCGCGAGTGAAGGTTTTTAAAGATTTCTACGGATTTTATATTGGGGCGGCCAGAATAAAATCTCTCTCTTGCCATGTCTGCTTGCAGGTGTGTTCTTTATCATATATGTATGTAACTCTTTCTGAGATCAATAAATAACCGCGTTGTGAATGACGTGTCTCTTTCCGGTACATCAAAACTCATGTGCCGCAGATGGAGACAAGCTGACAAGCGTAATGCTCAAGGTTCTTATTTGGGGAGGGTAATTAGCATTAATGAACAAAGAAGTTCGACACTTAGCCACTGCTTTTCACTCTCCTTTTGCTCAAACCAATACCCTGCGCCGATACTCACTTTCTCTTTCCATCTGTCTTTTCAGATTGATTATTTCAACGTGAGCGCAATCGTGCAGTTGTCAAAAAGGCGAGGAACCTTTGCGGTCTAGCAGAATCAAGAGAGCTAGAAAAAAAGAGATGAATCTTGCAAATCAACACCACCAAAGAAAACCAACTAAACTAAACTAAAAAATTAGTAGCAGAGCAAAAAAAAAGAAGATATCCATAAAAAGGACCTAACGAATAATCATATTAAATTTATACACAAAATAAGAACAAAAACCACAACAGTTTATAACAAAAAAAGAAGAAGAAAAACGAGACATACAAATACCAATGTTCCATAAAGCACAGCAGATCAAGAGAGCAAGAGCACCAACAACCAGCAGCAGCAGCAGTTAAGAGAGAGTAAAAGAGTACTTAATAAAAAATAAAAGCAAATTTTTAAATGAAATCTTAGTGCGAGCGAAATGAGGAGCAAGTAAAAAATAAGATTATAAATTATATAAAAATATAAATATTGCTGTCTTTTTGCATTTTTGCAATTTTATAAAAAAATACCAGTAATAATATAAAAATATATTTAAATAAATAAACTCACAGAGGAGAATCAACACGCGAACATTCCTTTGTCAAGCTAAGGGCATACACTTAACGAAAAAAAAAATCATTAGCAAAATTTACTCTTTTAACTTAAACACACAAAATCAACAACTAAAATCATTGAAAAATTTTACTAAAAAATTTTAACGAAAGAAAAAATCATAAATCACAAGCTTACATACATACAAGCGAAGTACGATCGTAGTTGATCTAAAACCAATACACCAAGCAGCAACGCAGAGCGAAAGCTACCAAAGGCACGAAAGCTCAAAGTGGCCGCTAGCGAAAGCTCAGTAGCGCGCCATCTAACACAGTGTAAAGTCTTCTAGTCAAAACCAAAAACAGAAAAAAGCTATTCCCCATTTGTGTAATCATAGTTTTTAGCGAAAGCTTACTTAACCTAACTTACTTACTTAATTTCCAACGGGACTTGTGCAAAGCGCAATCAAAGCTCTTATTAAAACCAAATATTTAAATTAAAAAAAAAATTAAATATAAGCGACGTTTAACCAAGCAGTGAGACTAATTACTAAGCAAAAACAAATCATACAAAAACCAACAAAGCAACAAAGCGCTAAGCAGTAAAGTTAGTTAGAGAAGGAGAAGCAAAGGTAAAACAAAAGCAGAAGCAGAAGCGAGGGCCAGCTGATCCAAGGCCAAGCAAGCAGTAAAGAAGAAGTAAAGTCAGGGAGCAAGTCCTTGACAGCGAGAGCGTGAGAGCAACAACTAGCGTTTGAGCGCACACAACGGTTTAGAGCGATTTGTCAAAATTACGCCCCAAAAGCAAGCCGTCACTGCTACGACACCAGCAGCAATTAAGAAGCAACAGCAACCGCAGTCACAGCCGCAGCAACAGCAACAACAAACAACAGCAGCAGCTGCAACAACAGCAACAGCCAAAAAAATGACCAACGCCATGGACATTGTGAAGAATGGCAGCGCCAATGGCTCTGTTGACGGCAGCTCGGATGAGTCGCGCACCAACTTGATTGTTAACTATTTGCCACAAACAATGACGCAAGAGGAGATGCGTTCGCTCTTCTCTAGCATTGGCGAATTGGAGAGTTGCAAGCTAGTGCGCGACAAAGCCTCAGGTAATTTGGGTAAATATTCACTTTTTTCACTTTCTAATAAATATATGTATGTATGTATTTATAGTATGTAGATTTTAAATGTAAATTTGTAAAGTGGATGCTTAAATTGGACTCAAGCAGAGCTTAAGTACAATTAGTATTTAACAATGGTTAGTTAAATTTCATGCATTAAAAGTTGAATAAAAAGTGTAAATGCAAATTTAAATTAGGTTTTTCTTGCGCCAGCTTAAGCGAAACTTAATGAAATTTGAAAAAAAAAGACTTAAGTAGAATAAAGAAATATTTTAACCACATAGGTGTATCTGGGCTCAAACCCTATGGTGAGAACTTAAGCAAATCTTGAGTGCTTGAGAAAACTTCGTTAAGTTTTTTATACGATTTTTAATTGTGCTAATTCAGAGCACTTTTTGTAATGCATTTTTTTAATATTTTAGAAGTTATAATACTCGCTTTGGTGAAAATTAAATAAAAACTTAAGTAAAATTTAAAAAAATGTTAAATATAAAATTTTAATTTTATTGGAATTTTAATCAAATCAGATTATGTTTATTACATTTACTTAGTAGTGAAACTTACGAAAACCCTTAGTTGGATTTGTGAAACTTAACTATGTATTAATTAAGAAAATTTTGAGTGCAAATATCAACACAAAAAAAATTTGGTGAAATTAGACTTTACTTAAGTAAAACTCAATCGTTTAAGTAAAATTTTGCATTGAAATTGCTCCCATAAAGTTATTTAAACCTACTAAAATTCTTTAAAATCTGTTTCCGCCAATTTCCAATTTACAGTGTTGCCAGCTTCCTTGACCGCGCTCAATCCGGCATTACAGCAAGGTAAGTTTATCGTCTGACTTACTTAGTTCATTCGCAAGCACTGCCTATATGAATGTATTATTATTTTTTGTACATATTTCTAACTTCTTTTCCTTCCTTGTGCCTATCTCCTTCGCTATGCTCACCATGTAGTTGGCCAAAGCTTGGGCTATGGTTTTGTTAACTATGTACGCGCCGAGGATGCTGAGAAGGCCGTCAATACGCTTAATGGTTTGCGTTTGCAAAATAAAGTGATTAAAGTATCATACGCCCGTCCAAGTTCGGAATCAATAAAGGGTGCTAATTTGTATGTATCGGGTCTTCCCAAAAATCTATCACAACCAGACTTGGAGGCACTATTCGCATCATTTGGCAAGATAATTACATCTCGTATACTCTGTGATAATATTTCTGGTGAGTAAAGTGAATGTAATTATTTATGTACGCTTGACGGGTGATAGAGAGAATGAGTGTGTTAAATGCAACTCTAGAGACAGAAACGGTTATGGCACTCAAAGTAGCTAAGATACAAACCAAAATATCGAGTACACACACTTTTTAAGTTCATAGGCACTCAAACTTACTGTCTCTCTCACTCTCTCTCTGCCAGCGCAGTTTTTAATGATGCATACATATTTTGCGGAATAATTAGTTTTTGTCTCTCGCTCTGCAGGTCTATCGAAAGGTGTCGGTTTTATACGTTTCGATCAACGCAACGAAGCCGAACGCGCTATACAGGAGCTAAATGGTAAAACGCCCAAGGGTTATACCGAGCCGATAACTGTTAAATTTGCCAATAATCCCAGCAATAGCGCCAAAGCTCAACTCCCACCACCATTGGCCGCATATTTGACACCACAAGCGGCTGCCGCAACGCGTCGCCTCGCTGGCGCATTACCATCAGCTGGACGTATAAGGTAAGTGGTGGAGCGAAGGGAATGCCATTGATGATTAAACTAATTTAAGAACTTCACAAAATATGCAGGAAATCATTTTGAAGTTATAAAAAAGCTTTATAATGCTTAGTATGACGAGGTTTGTGTGCTTACTAAGTAGGTGCTAAAGTGAGGTTTTTAAGCTTATTTAGCTACATATTTCATACTAAATATTTAGTAATTTACAAATTTATTATTTGTTAACAATGAATAATTAGTACATGTGTATGTACCATATTTCCAACAACAAAAATATCTCCCAAAAACTTCCTTTTAAAATGTTTCCCTTAGTAAAGATCCTCGTTTAGCCAAGTCAAGCACCATTTAGTTAGTGCAGCTTTAAAGCTCACCCAAATTCTTCCATTTAGGCAACTGCACATACGTACATATGTATGTACATAGCTGCTGAGACAGCATTTCCAAAAATGTTTGAAGCAAATAATTTCAATTAGAGCAATAATTTCTAAAGATGTAACTACCCCCTATTATATTTTTTCATTATTTCTTTTTTAAATATTTTTCACTCAGCGACTAAGCAGCTGAATTTCGTTTTCTCGAAATGTTGTTTAAACCAAAAATACTTACAAACACATTTTCTAACCTAATTTCTTTTTTAAATTTCCTAAATTTTAGTCAATATATAATATATATTTTTTTTTGTAAATTTGTTTTAGATATTTTGAGCTTTTCTTTTTGAGAAATTCAGTCAGCAGTCATACTAACCGCAACGTTTTTCGCAAATAATTTTTTTTTCTCAAACCAAACCGTACTCATTTAATTTTTCCTTCCTTTTCGTTTTTTTCTTTTTTTACTTAATTTACAAAAAAATTTTAACAAAAAATGCCGATTTCGTTTATAGCATTGGAAAAAGCCCGATGTTTGCCATTAACAAGGGTTTACAAAGGTGAATAATTTTAGTTATTATTAAAGTATTTATATTTTTTACAAAATTTTAGTTGCTCTTTGTGTAAGAGGATAAGAATAACTATTTTTTCACTTACTATTGAGAGAAAAAATTAATGTTACTTAAAAAAATAATTGTTGGTAAAATAAAATTGTGCGCAAAACCAAGGGGCGTCTAATTAATGAAAAACATTAAATAAACCAAAAAAAAATTAAAAAAATAAATAAGAAAAACAATAAAACAAGACCATCGACAAAGAAGAAGAAAAAAAGATTAAAAACAAGTAAAAGAAAACCAAAATAAAGAATAAAAAAAAATTAAATATTAAGCCAAAAAGTGCGCCCACAAAATTATCAATTTAAATATGTACTTATACCAACTTTTTACATACATACATACGTACAACTTTCAAATAATAAAAAAAAAATACTAATTAAATTCTAAAAAAAAAAAAATAATTCTTTCACATATTTAAATCAGCAAACTTCGATAAAAACGTTAAAGCTAAATTAATTTTAAAAATAAGACACTACACTTTTACAAAAAAATATAGTTTTTGCCTTTCTTGATAAGAAAAAAAAATAAAAAAAAGATCTTAGAAAAATCAGTAGACCCATAAGTAATGCCAGCTAAGTTACAAAAAGTTTCAAAACAAATAAACGAATGAATGAATAAAAATTTGCAGAAAAATATTATAAAGTTAAAAAAAAAAAATAAAAAAAAAATTTTAAATGTAAATTCAAAAATAACTAAAAACAAAAAGTACATCACAACAAAAAAATAAAAAACTAATCAATTAAAATGTTTAGTTAAATATTAAAAATATACAAAAATAATAAAAAATAATAATAATAAAAAGTAATAGTAAAATAATAATAAAAAAAAATAACAAAAAAAAAATAAATTAGCTACTAAAAATGCAAAACAAAGATATTTAAACAGAATAAAATAAAAAAGTTTATTCTGAAAACCATCGGCATTACACGTGCAACTAAAAAATGATTAAAAAAATATATAAAAATACAAAAATTAAAGTTTTAAAGTTATGTCAACAAAATTGTATCTAGTAGCTTAAAAAATTAAATTTTGTACAATTGAAATCTTTAATTGAATAGTAGACTACAGTGTAAATCACGCCTCTCTTTCAAATTTTTTATAGCGTTAAATATGTTTTTTGTTTTCTTTCTATTTTTATGGCTTTTGCTGTCGAACTGCCGTATTTTCTTTTAGAAACCGAAAAAAAAAATTTTACAAAAATTAAAAAAAAGGTGGAATGCGCTCTTACACTGTGTTACATATTTTTTCTTCTTCTTTGGTTTGGTTATTAAGCTTTTTAATTGAAAATACAAGTAAACGAGCAACACTTTATTAAAAAAAGAATAAATAGTAAGAATTTGACGTACATAAAATGTTTGGGAAATTTCAAATTTTGCCTGCTTTAAATGTCCACAAAGCAAAAATTTGGTAATAATTTTTTTTCAGTGTATGAACAGTAATGAGAAATCAGTATTTAATTGCTATGATTGTATTCGTTTTATTGCTCCCCTCCCCCTTCGCTTACAACTTAAATGCTCAATTTAGTTTTACGCGCTCTCGACATTAAGATGTTTTTTGTTAACTTTTTTACAACTGTACTATATTTAGTTTGGTTTCTATGTTGTATTATTTCTAGCTGGTCCCTCGAAAATTGAATTAAAAACAAATTTAATTTATTTCATATTACCTTCTTCTTCATAACCTGGCATTGTAATATAGCTAATACCCTTTAAGTTAAATGTTTATATAATCGAATGTAACAAGAAAAATTTATTTCGTTTGTATTTGGTTTTTATCACAGTCTCTCCACGTTCTAGTTGTTTTACTGTTAAACCTCACTGTTTGTATTTAATTATGTTTTGTTAAAACAATTAAAAATACTTGTTTACAAAAGGCATGCGAAATCGATGTCCATAAAAAATAGAAAAAAAAATCTTTTAAATATACTTATAAGTAAAGCTTATAATCCAGTTGCTTGGAATAGTTAGAAGATTCTTATGCAAGAAAAATAGGTTGCTTTGATGGTCAAAATCTACCGGAATTTCTAATTCGGAGCAATCAAGAGCAGTAGAGCTTTCGCACTGCACTAGCGTTGCTAGCAGAGCATCATCCACAACCAGATAGAGATTTTACGCTGAGTTCATGTAAAAAAATTAATTAGAAAGCTTAAAAAGCTATGCCCACAGTGATGTCACTGCTGTAAATCAGTGATGCTCAGAGAGAGCTTTTACTCTGTGCGCGTCCATATAAAATCTAAAGAGAACTTTTAAGAATTCCGCCCGCGGGCGCTGTTTTGAGCATCACTGCTGTAAATAAATCAATGAAAATCAGAAAGGGGCTTTTGTCACCAAACAGAGCAAGCAAGGCAAGCAGAAGAAATCTCTGGCCACGGGCCGTAGTTTAATCGTCACTGTAAGAAATAACACTTCAGTAAATTAATCGGTAACTACCAGAGAGAGCTTTTATCAACCAAAAAGTGTTTTATGTGGCGGTACATAGATCAGTGAAAAGCAGAACGAGCTTTTACCTTGCGCGATTCTACGTAAGTAAAGCAGTGACGATCACGGAGAGTATTTTCCTTTATTCGAGTGGTAAAATAAATCTATAGAAAGCGTTAAAAAATAAAATATATATGCAAAGAGCTTTAAAAGCTCTATCAGACGGATACATTTTCAGCACCACACAAAGAGATTTTTGTTTGTTTGTCAACAGACCCACGTTAGCTAGTGAGTGTTTTTGCTCGACTATTTCCTGGACGCTGAAAAGCTCAAAAAATCGCTCGTGGTCATAGTGATATAAAGATATGTAACTTTTGTAGCTCGGCGCTAAAGCTAGTTAGTTCAGTGACGATAAGCAACAGCTTTTACTATGTCAGCGTTCATCTACAATAGCCATGACCAAAACATATCCCACGGGATAAACATTTCAAAGCTCTGTATGAGTGCGTACAAAGTAAAAGCTCTCTCCAGTCGCCCGTTTAAAAATTTTCTCCTGCGGAACATATGAGTCTATTTAGATTTTTGCGCTAGAAAAAAATTTAATTTTTTCACTACCGAAAACATTTCCAGTTTTTCGTTTTAAACGTAGTTGATGTCTTAAGATAGCAGAATTCAAGGCCAGATCTCTCCTAAAATTTTTGATTATCATAATTTTTTGTCCTTCGTATTTATGTAAGTTTTTTTGAAATTTTAATGCTTTCCATTTCGTAACTGTGACTATCCACTCAGTCAATCGAAAGCTCCGCTAATTTCACCAAGTTTGTTTTAGCCTTTTTGGAGCATAGCTCATACCAACCGCTCAAATACTAACCAAGTGAGAACGTTCTCTATTTGTTCTTTAATCGGGCATTTGAAAACCTATTAAGTATTTTGATTTCATAGTCTTCACAGTGAGCTGTTCAGAAGCAGTCCTTGAGTACAAGCGTTAGTAGTTCTAAACTTAAAAAAAAATGTACTTATCTGAAGATGAAGCTAGTCGTCGTAAAAATAACTATTTTACTAACCATTTACTAACCATTACCTCTCACTCTCTTTTTCTTTCTCTTTCTCTCCGAAATTTTACGCACATGCGCACACACACGCCCGCCCGCACCTACAGATACTCACCATTGGCTGGTGATCTCTTGGCCAATTCGATTTTGCCGGGCAACGCAATGACCGGCTCCGGTTGGTGTATATTCGTCTACAACCTCGCACCCGAAACTGAGGAGAATGTGTTGTGGCAGCTATTCGGCCCGTTCGGCGCCGTCCAATCGGTCAAGGTTATACGCGATCTACAAACGAGCAAATGCAAGGGCTTCGGCTTTGTGACCATGACGAATTATGACGAAGCGGTTGTGGCAATACAATCACTCAACGGTTATACACTCGGCAACAGGGTGTTGCAAGTTAGCTTTAAGACAAATAAAACTAAAACTGCTTAAGTGGAAGATAACAACAAGAAAAAGAAGAACAACAAAAATAAAAACAAAAGCGAGAACAACAGAAGTAACAATAAAAAAGCAGCAGCGACAGGAAACACACAAAAGCAAGAACAACAAATGGAAAAATGAAAGCGAAAGCGCAAGCAAGTAGAACTTTTGTGTAAAGCGAAAAGTAGGAATGAATTGAAACCCAGCAACAAAACACCGCAGTTCAACTTAAAAGAATGCAAAAAAAAGATATATATGACATAAAAATATTTAAAAATTTACATAAATTATATAATATACATATATAAAGCACAGGTGTGTGGACGAAAGCAGCAAAGCAAAATTAAATATACAAAAAAGTGTTGAAAATTGAAATTTACTACTAGTCACGCAGACACTTAAAAAAATTATTGATTAAAAAAATAATTAGTGAAAATTATAATTTGTGCAAAATTGTTTTAATTTTGTCTATTGTACTTTGAAAATTTGTTAGCAAAAATGATGGATAGACGGAAAGTCGATGCCGTAGAAGAAGAGTTGATGAACGGCGAAATGACAGTAAGGGAGAGTGGAAAGCGTAAAAATGTTAGCTAACAAAATGCTTTCTAGGCAATATTTTTTGTGTGTTCAAAAGCGCCGAGAGTAGTTGAGAGTACGAGAGCGAGACAACCGTAGCAGTTAGCATAAGCTAGTAGCAAGAACAAAAGAAAAAAAAAACATATACATAAACAAACAAAACATATATATAGATATATATATATGCATGCTTTGCCATAAACTAAGCGAGCTTTTTACGCCGCGCGATACCCAAAGAGAGAACGAGCGAGTAAGGCATCATTGAAAAAATTCCCGTTAAAAACGATAACTACACTGCAAAAATATACAACATCAACGCTGGCACAAATAGTTATCGTTGAAAGCAGAAAAACTTAAAATTCTCAAAACCCAAACAGCAAAAAACAAAAAAATAAATTCTCAAACTCATCGTATAACTACTTGTATGCATACATATATATTAATATTTATTACTTATTATTAACTATTATAATTAAACAAACTATAAATTATTATGTGGAAAATATTTAAGCAAAATTTATTTAAACCAAATAATTAGTCACACTTGTAAAAGCTCTTTAAACTAATTATTCATTGTACTTAATTAAATTGTATTTGTATTAGTATTTGTATTTGTCTATAGCATACACACATACGTATATTGTATATTTATGGATTTTTCGTAATTAATTTATTCATTTCGTAGTAACAAAAGCTGAGCAAAATTAAACTCACAAGCAAACTAAAATAATAATATCTAAAAATTATAGATTCATATAAATAAATTATTGCATGGAACATCCACATTAACTTAATAAAACGTGAAAAAATAAAGTAAAAATAAAATACGACCAACAAATATGTACACCCTCACACAAAGGAAGCAACCGAAACGCATATTTTACAGCATAAAAAACCATAAATATAAAAGCAGTATAAAAACAAAAATATACATACAATACATACATTTACATATAGATATGTATGAAAAAAGCTATTTGCTATTATTAAATTTATTATTATTATTATTATAAATTTATTAATTGATATTACCATGAAAAATTTAATTAAATAAATGTGTGAATTATTTAAAATTTTAAAACCGAGTGCAAATTACATAAAGGTGGCAACCACACGCAGACTCTGCGCTGCGCTAATTGGCTAAGTAGTTATCGGGAGTGTAGTGTAGCGTTGCGGGCGGGCGACGGAGAGAGAGAGAGAGAGAGAGGCAAAGAGCGAGAGAGAGGCAAAGAGCGAAAGAGCGCGCTAGCACAGCGAAGTTCAGAGAAGGCCTTTAAAAAAATTTATGAAAAGCTTAAAAAAGCTCATCCTACGTTAAGTAATCACTTGTGCTAGCGCAACGATGCGATACTCTGGTTTCGCTGAGTGGCATAGTAATGCTTGAAGGCGAAAAAGCGTGAATTTGCGTGAGTGTCATTCAACTTATTGGATCTTAAGGCAATCATATTGCAGTAGTTGAGCGGAACAAGCCGGCTCACTATGCGCAGTAAGAGAGAGTAGTAAAGATGGAAAACGCTCCAAAAACTTTCTGAGAGTAGATCATGGTTTAGAGCAGCGAAGGGCAAATAAAGCTTTTACTCTGCACGCGTCTATACAAAATATATAGAAAGCTTAAAAGAGCTTAGCCCGCGGGCAAGGCAGTGCCCATCACCAAACATCACCGTTTTAGTGTCAGTGACTATCCGAGAGAGCTTTTACTACTACTACTCCGTAATTCTATACTGCAGTTGGCGCCAAGCTTTTCAAGCTTTCTGTGCTTTTTATATGTGGGTGGTGGGCGATGAATGAAAGCTCATTTTAGTCAGAAGTAGTCTATACAAAATTTAAAGAAAACTTCAAAAAGCTTCTCTCGCGGAATGTGTTGCGGTTATTTGGCAAAAAGACATCACGAATGACTTGAAACAGAAATGTCCACATCAGCGCACCGGTATCAAGCAATTTCAAGTTTCCTAAACTGGAATGAAGGCACAGCCTTGGCAGTGTGGCCATTAAATGTTGGAAAAGCCACGCCAAAACAGCTACACAATAAAAAGAGCAGAGAGAGAGTTTTTAATTCTAATATAGACTTCCGAATAGCCCAGTATAAAAAAAACACAGGGAGATCATTTGCTGAGATCAATGATGGGCAGGGAGAGCTTTTAAGGCCCGTTTACATACAACTTTGGCGTTGCGTTGGCGTTGGCGTCGCTTCGACAGCTGACTATGAATACATGCATTTATATGAAAGTCTCCATATAACCAAAGTTGGGCAACGCCAACGCCAACACAACGCAGAAAGATGGCCAACTCTCAACTTTTCGCGTGCGTCGTTCGTCAGCTGTTCTAAATAATCAAAATTATGTGATTTAATTTTCATTTTTAATCAAATCCGGGCAAGAAATATAGTTTTTAATGCAATTATTGATGTAATTTTTTTATTTATCTGCCGCTAGTGTGTTAATTTAGTAACCAAAGTATTCTCTGCTACGCGTTCATTGTAGCAAGCACGGGCGTTACTCGCGCTGCTGTCAAAGCGACGCCAGCGCCAACGCAACGCCAAAGTTGTATGTGGACGGGCCTTTACTTTTAGTGCGTCCACGTCACATATAAAGATATTATTTGAGAGCTCGCGGTTTAAAAGCTCTCGCTGATCTATAACACCGGTACAGAAAGCTTTAAAAGCTCTACACGCTTGCCATGCTTTGTCCATCAGCTGTTCAGGTGGATTGAATTCTTCTTGAAGACTGTGGTGGAGCCAACGGTAGCCGTACAGCGGACGGAAGCTCCATGGGCGCGCAAGGCAGGGCCCATCACCAGCTTAAACACAGCGAACGCTTCTCTTAGCCCCTCTACGCAGCAGTTCGTACGCTGAGTTGTCGATCAATTCCTTTGCTTAACTAATGAAAGCAAGATGAGCTCTGATTTTCGTCAGTTATCGTTCAACTCATTTGCTTAGTTGCTTTAATTTGATCTCCCTGGGAGCAATAATTTTATTGATCAAAGCAAATTTGTGTTTCATAACCGCGTTCATAAAAATGATGAAAGCTCAGCCCACACCCAGTTGCTGGGTATACATATGACTAAGAAAGTTTCACATGAAATTCTGTAAAATTTAATTCATGGCCTTTATGAAAAAGCCAAAGTCAATGTTAGGTGATCGAGCATATGAAAGCTGAGTCAAGCTGCATACTTAATTGTGAAAAAAGTGACAGCTCTGGGTTCATAAAAATGATTAAAGCTCAGCTATGTTGAACACCAACTGCAGATAATACGAAAGCTCAACTTTCACGCGATCAGCTGCTCGCTTTTAACTTTTCTTACTGCAACGGAACAACCTACAATCTACATGCAAGCCTGCCTCTCAGAGCTTTCAACTCTCTCTCAGGGCAAACGTTCGTCGGAGTTGTGAAAATCATGTTTTTCTCTCGCATAAGTTGTTCGGAGAAAGTAGTAAGGCCAAGTATGACTATGTAGTCATAGTATGGGTTAACTGATTTCTTTGCTTTTTTCTAATCAATTCTGTCTACTCAGCCTACACTTTCAAACACAAAAACTTATTGCATTTCATAAGAAATGTAAACAAATTTTTAACAAACAATTTTAATTAAAAATATGATACTAAAACCATTAAATAGTTGAAAAATATCTATGTATGTTTTCTAATAGATTCTTTTAGTTGTCACTTCACGCTTACTAATGATAATTAAGTAGTAGAAATGTGTATGAAAATGAATTAATATAAATTTATTACAAAACAAATCAATGTTATATCAAAACTTAAATGAGTAAAATGTGGCAAAAAACCATAGGCAACGTAAATATGAGAGCACAAGAAACTAAGAAATTAAAAACAAAAACTAATTAAGAATCATTTGAATTATACGTTGATATAATTGAGTATAAATTATTAATTAGCGTTAATGAGTGACAAAAAAATAAGTTTTAAAAGAAATTGAAGTGAAGCATATGGGTGTAAGACCAAAATGTAGGCAAAACCAAAACACCAACTTTGAATATTATAAAAAATTTTTTAAAGTACTTACATATATAGTGAAATTTAATAAAAAACACGAGAAAATTCACAAAAAAAAAAGAATGAAAAGCGAAGCGAGAGAATCGAAAAAGAGAAAGCGAAAAGGAAAAGGAAGGAAAGTAAGTGAATGAGAAGGTAATGGAAGTGAATGAAATGAAAAGCAATTGTGAAGAGCAAAGCAAGAGATAGGCAAAAATAAGGATTGGATTAAAGAGAGTTTAGAAACAGCGGCTAATGCTAAGTGAGAGAGCATGCGTGGTTAAGACTAACTGAAATAGATTGTGAGTGAATGGAAAGAAAAGTACTGAAGAGCGAATAATTATGTTGGAAATCAAAAGAAGCGAGAAATGTGAAACACATTTAAAAAATAAAGCAACAAATTAGATAATATATTGAAATTTTTCGACTGAGCGAGCGAGATGGGAGTTCACGCAACGAAAGTAAGGCTCAGCAGTAAAGAAAGTGTTCGATGAATATCGTAAAATAGAGAAAGGCTGATTATGCGCGTGAAAGCTTTAAGACAAGAGAATAGCAGCTTGAGCCGAAGTGTGTGAAGAAGAAGTAAGAGAATGGAGCGGAAATAGAGCGAAAGCACTGTAATGGATATGGAAGGTTTGAACAATGCTGAGTGGAATGTGTTCAGAATGAGTGGAAAGTAGC